TGCTCAGACGGTTAACATGAGCATCCAGAGTCAAGGAAGAGTCGATGTGGACACCCAAGTCCTTAACCACATCAGAGAATCTGACGTCAGAGTCTGCGACTGTAAGGGTGTCGGTTTTGACCTTGCTGAGTTGTTGCTTTGTACCAATGAGAACTGCTTCTGTTTTTGTGTCATTAAGTTAAAGCATGTTTCCTGTCATCCAGCACTTGATGTCCTGCGTACATTCAGCGATGCACTGAAGAGACGTAGATAGATCTGACAGATGAAATGCTTTCAGGAGCTGGGTGTCATCAGCGTAGGCATGATGAGAAACTGTGTGGTCTGTAGTTATCCTTCCGACATATCCGGTATACAACACAAACAGGACTGGACCAAGGACTGATCCCTGTGGCACCCCACATGTGATTACAGTGCCTTTTGATCTCTCAGTGCCAACAACAACAGATTGCTGTCGGTCAGACAGATAAGACGTCACCCATTGAAGGGCATGACCTTCAAGTCCGTACTGTTGTGTGAGCCTGGACAAGAGTCTATGGTGATCGATTGTGTCGAAGGCTGCAGAGAGGTCCAACAACACTAGAGCAGCAGTCCTACCATCGTCGACAGCACAACGAAGCTCATTCGTCACTTGCAGTAAGGCAGTCTCCGTACTATAGTATTGCCGATACGCTGACTGGAATTCATCAAGCAGAAAGGTGACGATTTCCAATATCAAAGCACTATGTCAAAGTATACCAATATCTCGACAGAGGTATAGTGATCAGACACGGTACAAGTTCAGTACCACATCGATCACTTACCCTTTTTCAGGAGATACGGGTTTAAAGTACTTGGACCCTGGTTCACTGAAGCCAGCAGTAGTCGTGTCCAGAGAAGAAGGTTGGCCACTGCAGACTTGAAGAACTCAAAGAATGATTCACATTGCGAGTGCTCAGCATAGAAGGTGACTGTCTCAATTTTAGGTGCTTCCAAAACAGCATTTTCTGAAACAGTTATATCGTCAAACTTCATGTCCATGGTTGTTGGCGATCTATAGTCAGTTTTTTATATTGTATTGTCTTCGTAAATAAAATAGCTTTACATGTCCATCTGTGATACTCTAGTTATTTTACAGTCCTTCGATGACTGATTCTTTAGCAACTTAAATTTATTGTTTATATAACACATTTCTCTTCACTATATGGCTGAAATATTGCCGATGTGACGTAAAATATTTACTCACTCACTCACTCAAACTTCATGTCTTTTCTGAACAGTGTTTGCTAGAAGTTTTCCCCTGGTACCCTGTCAGGAAATGTCATGAAGACGAGGCACATGGCTAGCAGTGCTGCCATCATGGCATTCAGGAGGGTAATGCCAAACCGACGTGATACCGATGTGACTATGTTGTACTTCCAGTAACCAGCTTCTTCACACAGCCTAGCCAAGTCGAACCTGTTGCCCTGCGCTGACAGATCTGAGAGGGAACAGAAGAGTGTGTGACAGGTTTCAAAAAATATTTAAGAAAATAATGACCGCCATAATGAAGAAGCGTTTCATGTACAAAGTTCTTGGAATGAAAGAAAAGAATAATCACCATGGGAGAGTTCATCCATAGTTCGTGAGAGGTCACTTCAAAGAACATTTGAAAAAATAATGACCGCCGTTTCGTGAGCACTTGGAAAGCGTTCATCCCTACTTCGCAAGAGTTAAAAAAGAGCAGGACATAACACTACATTTCACGGTACTTGACGCCGTGTGCAACGTATGCAGTGTTTGCAACACAAAGAATATCTCGTTTCTTTCACAAGCGTGCTGAGCAAGACAGTCACCTGAGAAAACGTTTGCATCAAAACAATACGACTGTCGATTCCAACAGAATTAATTTGTTTTAACAACAAGGAATGCTTTAATATTCTTGTACATAATGACGGATGAAAAATCGAACCCTTTGAATAATTCTTGGTGCAATCAGTGGCGTGAAAAGGCAGTCATTTTTCTGCTTTATTTGTTCAGAGGTTGCTAACCAGGGCGAGCTAACACCTTTTCATAGAAATTCACAGCACAGCGAGATGAAAGCTAATATTGCGATAAATGGCAAACTACGCCGAAGACTGGTATGATAAATACCTCCTTCGAGTGGCATTTAAAACTTGATGTGATGAACAACTGGGGAAATCTATATGACTTTTTTATTATTAATGTAAGCGGTGCTTCGTTGCAGCTGCACAATACTGCAGGAAAGCCGTATATATACATGAGTAAAGTTTGTACAACAATTTGATTGGTGTTTACGCAAATGATACCGAAGATCCATAACTGACCACACCCAAACTCATCCAGTCCACAACAACCTTTGACAGCATCAACATACTTACAAACAATCACAACTTCTACAAGACTACACTACCAGACTCCAATCCCATCAAGAGGCTCCAACCGGCCAAATACAGAGACCCACCTCCTACAGCAGAGATTCGGCACAACATGCTACAGTTGGAGGCTCGGTATAACGTCCTACAGTAGGAAGCTCGCTATAACGTCCCACAGAAGGGGGCTCGGTACAACCTAACAGTAGAAGGCTCAGTATAACGCTCTATAGTCGGAGGCTCGGTAAAACATCCTGCAGTAGGAGGCTACGTATAACTGAACAGTTGGAGACTCGGTATAACGTCCTACAGTACGAGGCTCGGTATAACCTGACAGTAGGAGGCTCAGTATAACGTCCTACAGTAGAAGGCTCGATATAAAGTCCTACAGTAGATGTGTAACGTACTGCAGTAGGCGTCTAAGTATGAGGTCGTACAGAAGGGGCCTCTGTATAACGTCCTACAGTATGAGGATCGATATAACGTCCTACAGTATGAGGATCGATATAACGTCCTACAGTAGATGTACATGTTCCTTGGTGCTGTTTCGAATGTGTCCGCTCAGATGTACATGTTCCTTGGTACTGTTGTGTAATATGTCCGCTCAGATGTACATGTTCCTTGGTGCTGTTGTATAATACGTCCGCTCAGATGTACATGTTCCTTGGTACTGTTGTGTAATGTGTCCGCTCAGATGTACATGTTCCTTGGTACTGTTGTGTAATATGTCCGCTCAGATGAACATGTTCCTTGGTACTGTTGTATCATATGTCCGCTCAGATGTACATGTTCCTTGGTGCTGTTGTATAATACGTCCGCTCAGATGTACATGTTCCTTGGTACTGTTGTATCATATGTCCGCTCAGATGTACATGTTCCTTGGTGCTGTTGTATAATACGTCCGCTCAGATGTACATGTTCCTTGGTACTGTTGTATCATATGTCCGCTCAGATGTACATGTTCCTTGGTGCTGTTGTATAATACGTCCGCTCAGATGTACATGTTCCTTGGTACTGTTGTGTAATATGTCCGCTCAGATGTACATGTTCCTTGGTGCTGTTGTGTAATATGTCCCCTCAGATGTACATGTTCCTTGGTGCTGTTGTATGATACGTCCGCTCAGATGTACATGTTCCTTGGTGCTGTTGTGTAATATGTCCGCTCAGATGTACATGTTCCTTGGTGCTGTTGTGTAATATGTCCGCTCAGATGTACATGTTCCTTGGTACTGTTGTGTAATGTGTCCGCTCAGATGTACATGTTCCTTGGTACTGTTGTGTAATGTGTCCGCTCAGATGTACATGTTCCTTGGTACTGTTGTGTAATGTGTCCGCACATATGTACATGTTCCTTGGTGCTGTTGTGTAATATGTCCGCTCAGATGTACATGTTCCTTGGTGCTGTTGTGTAATATGTCCGCTCAGATGTACATGTTCCTTGGTACTGTTGTGTAATGTGTCCGCTCAGATGTACATGTTCCTTGGTACTGTTGTGTAATGTGTCCGCTCAGATGTACATGTTCCTTGGTACTGTTGTGTAATGTGTCCGCTCAGATGTACATGTTCCTTGGTACTGTTGTGTAATATGTCCGCTCAGATGTACATGTTCCTTGGTACTGTTGTGTAATGTGTCCGCTCAGATGTACATGTTCCTTGGTACTGTTGTGTAATGTGTCCGCTCAGATGTACATGTTCCTTGGTACTGTTGTGTAATATGTCCGCTCAGATGTACATGTTCCTTGGTGCTGTTGTGTAATATGTCCCCTCAGATGTACATGTTCCTTGGTGCTGTTGTATGATACGTCCGCTCAGATGTACATGTTCCTTGGTGCTGTTGTGTAATATGTCCGCTCAGATGTACATGTTCCTTGGTGCTGTTGTGTAATATGTCCGCTCAGATGTACATGTTCCTTGGTACTGTTGTGTAATGTGTCCGCTCAGATGTACATGTTCCTTGGTACTGTTGTGTAATGTGTCCGCTCAGATGTACATGTTCCTTGGTACTGTTGTGTAATGTGTCCGCACATATGTACATGTTCCTTGGTGCTGTTGTGTAATATGTCCGCTCAGATGTACATGTTCCTTGGTGCTGTTGTGTAATGTGTCCGCTCAGATGTACATGTTCCTTGGTACTGTTGTGTAATGTGTCCGCTCAGATGTACATGTTCCTTGGTGCTGTTGTGTAATGTGTCCGCTCAGATGTACATGTTCCTTGGTACTGTTGTGTAATGTGTCCGCTCAGATGTACATGTTCCTTGCTACTGTTGTACAATGTTCCGCTCAGATGTACATGTTCCTTGGTAATTGTGTAATGTGTCCGCACATATGTACATGTTCCTTGGTGCTGTTGTGTAATGTGTCCGCTCAGATGTACATGTTCCTTGGTACTGTTGTGTAATGTGTCCGCTCAGATGTACATGTTCCTTGGTGCTGTTGTGTAATGTGTCCGCTCAGATGTACATGTTCCTTGGTGCTGTTGTGTAATGTGTCCGCTCAGATGTACATGTTCCTTGGTGCTGTTGTGTAATGTGTCCGCTCAGATGTACATGTTCCTTGGTACTGTTGTATAATATGTCCGCTCAGATGTACATGTTCCTTGGTGCTGTTGTGCAGCATGCAGCACTAGAGGACATAACAACGAAAGATAGGATCGGGTGTCCATTGTTTATTGCGCCAATATCACTGTGGAATACAACATAACATGTTTCCATGCGTAGTATCACTAACAACCATACCGCTAGAGAATCAGAAAGTTTTTTTCTGAATAACCTTCTCAGCTTTTAGCGACTCCTCGTAAATATGGAATATATTCTGTGGCCTTTTCTCTAGAATTCTCAATATTAGGGACCAAATATGAGGTAAATATCCATTCAATACAACTTGCATCGAAGGCAGTAGATCCTAAAGACAGTGGTGTTATATAGATACCTTTACGGTGTTGTTATCCGTTGACTAGACAGCCTGGTATTCATTAAGAATTACAATACCAACGTTCCAGAGTCTGGGGCATTTTTGTATTCTATCTCTAAGCCTATACGCGCCATGTACTAGTCTGAAAAGTTTCAGTCCATATAAGGACGCAATACCCATTAATATTTAACACACAAGATTTAGTTAAAAGGAAAAAAGTTAGGTACTGTTTCTGCGTTGATTAAATCTGCCGAAAATAGCTGACAAACTAAATATGTAAAATATGTAATTCGGTTAATATACTTGTAAAGTGTACTGAAAATTCATCAAAACATCCGGCTTAGCTACCCCACCCTCTTCCGGGACTCTTCATCCTCTATCAATAAAAGTTGACAAACAACGAGTCTCCACCCTCTTCCGGGACACTTCATCCTCTATCTATACAAGTTGACAAACACCGAGTCTCCACCATCTTCTTCCGGGACTCTTCATCCTCTATCTATACAAGTTGACAAACAACGAGTCTCCACCCTCTTCCGGGACTCTTCATCCTCTATCAATAAAAGTTGACAACAACGAGTCTCCACCCTGTTCCGGGACTCTTCATCCTCTATCTATACAAGTTGACTCCACCCTCTTCCGGGACTCTTCATCCTCTATCTATACAAGTTGACAAACAACGAGTCTCCACCCTCTTCCGGGACTCTTCATCCTCTATCTATACAAGTTGACAAACAACGAGTCTCCACCCTCTTCCGGGACTCTTCATCCTCTATCAATACAAAGTTGACAAACAACGAGTCTCCATCCTCTTCCGGGACTCTTCATCCTCTATCTATACACGTTGACAAACACCGAGTCTCCACCCTCTTCCGGGACTCTTCATCCTCTATCTATACAAGTTGACAAACAACGAGTCTCCACCCTCTTCCGGGACTCTTCATCCTCTATCTATAGAAGTTGACAAACAACGAGTCTCCACCCTCTTCCGGGACTCTTCATCCTCTATCAATAAAGGTTGACAACAACGAGTCGCCATCCCTCTTCCGAGTCTCCACCCTCTTCCGGGACTCTTCATCCTCTATCTATACAAGTTGACAAAGGTTGACAACGAGTCTCCACCCTCTTCCGTTGACAAAGAACGACTCTTTCATCCTCCTCTATCTATACAAGTTGACAAACACCGAGTCTCCACCCTCTTCCGGGACTCTTCATCCTCTATCTATACAGGTTGACAAACAACGAGTCTCCACCCTCTTCCGGGACTCTTCATCCTCTATCTATACAAGTTGACAAACAACGAGTCTCCACCCTCTTCCGGGACTCAGTAAAATCTAAACTGTAAAATCTATCTAAAACGTACAGTAACAATGAATGACCTAAACTGTAACACCTATTTCAAACGTACAGGAACAATGAATGATCTAAACTGTAACATGTCTCTAACACGTACAGCAACAATTAATGATCTAAACTGTAACATCTATCTAAAACGTACAGTAATAATGAATGATCTAAACTGTAACAACTCTCTAAAACGTACAAGAACAATGAATGATCTAAACTGTAACATCTATCTAAAACGTACAGTAACAATGAATGATCAAAACTGTAACATCTATCTAACACGTACAGTAACAATCTAAACTGTAACATCTATCTCAAGCGTACAGCAACAATGAATGATCTAAACTGTAACATCTATCTCAAACGTACAGCAACAATCTAAACTGTAACATCTATCTCAAGCGTACAGAAACAATGAATGATCTAAACTGTAACAGCTATCTAAAACGTACAGTAACAACGATTGATATAAACTGTAACATCTCTCTAAAACGTACAGTAACAATGAATAATCTAAACTGTAACATCTATCTCAAACGTACAGGAAGATTGAATGATCTAACCTGTAACAAACTGTAACATCTATCTAAAACGTACAGTAACAATCTAAACTGTAACACCTATCTCAAACGTACAGTAACAATGAATTATCTAAACTGTAACATCTATCTAATACGTAGAGGAACAATGAATGATCTAAACTGTAACATCTATCTAATAGGTACAGGAACAATGAATGATCTAAACTGTAACATCTATCTAACACGTACAGTAACAATGAATGATCTAAACTGTAACATCTATCTAAAACGTACAGGAACAATGAATGATCTAAACTGTAACATCTATCTAAAACGTACAGTAACAATCTAAACTGTAACATCTATCTCAAACGTACAATAACAATGAAATATCTAACTGTAACATCTATCTAACACGTACAGGCACAATGCTAAATGTTAAGCGAACACAATGAACCTTAAAACAATTATCCGTAATTTGCAGTTTAAAAAATACAGGATATAAAGCTTATCTGTGCAAACCAAACCATATACTGTGATTCATTCAAACTATTTATGGAGTGTTTAGTATAATGAGGTATTTGTAATATAATTAGTAATCTAGATCTGTTGCTCTCAACCTGGAACATCATATTGACCATACACATTCTAATTAATTGGTCCTGACTCTCGTCTATCTTATCGTGTGCTTGGTTGCTGCATGAAGCCACAGTCAGCGAAATACTTGCTTGGTGCATGGTATCGATAATCTAGTGATATCAGAATAGATAATGAATTGAAGACGCACACAATAAAGTAACACTTACAAATAAGAAAAAGGTGATCCGACGACTGAAAACGCCTGTACACTTATGGAAGAAACACAGTCAACGCATACCAAGCTACATGAGATTTTGCACCAAGTGAATATGTATTCAAAACAAGATCAGGTCAGATCTGAAAAGAAGCTTAACTTATCTAACAATGTTTAAAGTGGAGTAATACACTGATTGGTGGTAGTGAGGGCATGCATGCTGGCACAGTGCTGAGTGAAAGTTTGATTTGCTATAGGATTTCACTTTTTAATACTTCGCAAGTTAAAAGCAACGAAATAATTATCATGTAAAATTTATCACAACTAATCAGGATAAATTATGTACTTGACATATTTGGATTACATTTCCATCATTACATAATCATATTAATGTAATCAGCGGCGAAAAAAGGGGGCCATTTGGGGGACATCATTTATCTGTCTTCTCATTGAACGGTGTCGGTTATTGGATAACAAATCTGAATGTGGATACGACAGCATATGCAGTTCTAATTACAAATCAAAGTCAAGAGATAATGGATCCAATATTCATCCTGCGATAATACTGTCGTGTTATTTTCATACGAAGAGCATTATACGCAACAACAAAAGTATTAATTCACAGTGAAAACACCATGATATTACCAGGATTTGAACTTGATCTGAAAGTGATTCGTCACAAAGTTTTATTCGTTTTGCAATATTAGACGAAAGTAGACATTAGCAAAATAGACATAAATAGTCTAAATATGTTTCGATATTTAGTGTGTATCGTCTTTATAGACAGACATACTGAGATTGTATGACAGCGGAGGTACAATCTTGAGTCGAGTCGAGTGGATACATCAGGCAGTGTCTGATGCAGAAGAAGGACACAGTCGTCCCGCTATTCCATCTGTCCTCCATGCAATGCCCGTCAACAATCACTGCAAGGCAAGAGACACGGAATGAAATAACAATTACATTAGCTAACATACATATAACGTATTCCAATAAGACGTGCGTGCAGTTGAGGTTAATGCATTACCATATCGGATCAGCTAAAATATATGAGGCGACATTGGTACCTTGTGGAACTTGTGGTTATATGGTAGAAACAAACCAAAGGTCATATCCAGTGTGAATATGGGATTCGAACAGACAATGCTTTTTGCTTTGAAAATTAATAAAGAATCTTTCACTCGTCCATCCTTTATGAAAATTGTCATGAATGGTTGCACTTTGTCAAGAATGGTTGCCGTTTGCCGGATATAAATAAATAAGACGTTATCGGCAAACTCTACAGTTATGGCTTTGGGGTAACTCAGTTATTTCAAGTCATTGATGAGTTCACACTGGAGACGTTTCCTTCAAACAAAACACACACATTGTTAACCTGACAACGCATGATACCCCTCCCCACTGTACACTTACTCTCTCGAGTCACCAGTGGCGTCGGGTTACCCACTTCAGCGAGCTTCAACATTTTTCCAGGCCCGCATACGGCCTCGGCAGCACTGCTACTGGCGGTCTCAGTTGCATTGTGGAAACAGCTGCCATTGACTGGGAAAGAGATCTCTTAACATAAGTGTACAATTGAACTGCCAAACGGAGATTTATAAATATTAATTTAACTAATTGCTACACGGACCACTGAAATATTTATATTTTGCTTAAATACTAATGGACTTATGTTTATTTTGAAATTGTCAATCTAACGCAAGATGGAATCAACCAGGTCCTACTTGAAAGGTGACGATTTCCAATATCATAGGACTATGTCAAAGTACTGGAAATTAACAATATCTCGACTGAAGTTTAGTGATAAGACATGGTACAAGTTCAGTACCCAAGGGACGCGTGAAGGTCCGGGGTAGAATAGGTCTTCAGCAACCCATTCTTGTCATAAAAGGCGACTGCTTGTCGTAAAAGGCGACTAACGGGATCGGGTGGTCAGGCTCGCTGACTTGGTTGACACATGATATCGGTTCCCAATTGCACAGATCGATGCTCATGCTGTTGATCACTGGATTGTCTGGTCCAGACTCGATTATTTACAGACCGCCGCCATATAGCTGGAATATTGCTGAGTGCGGCGTAAAACTCCACTCACTCACTCAGTACCACATGGATCACTTACCCTTTTCAGGAATTACCAAGTCTTGTTTGAAGTACTTGGACCCTGGTTGACTGAAGCCAGCAGTAGTCGTGTCCAGAGAAGAAGGTTGGCCACTGCAGACTTGAAGAACTCGGTTGTAAAAGAATGATTCACATTTCGAGTGCTCAGCACATAATCTGGCACAGGAGGTGACTGTCTCAATTTTAGATGCTTCTAAAACAACATTTTCTGAAACAGTTATATCGTCAAAATTCATGTCTTTTCTGAACAGTGTTTGCTGGAAGTTTTCACCTGGTACCCTGTCAGGAAATGTCATGAAGACGAGGCACATGGCTACCAGTGCTGCCATCATGGCATTCAGGAGGGTAATGCCAAACCGACGTGATACCGATGTGACTATGTTGTACTTCCAGTAACCAGCTTCTTCACACAGCCTAGCCAAGTCGAACCTGTTACCCTGCGCTGACAGATCTGAGAGGGAACAGAAGAGTGTGACATGTTTCAAAAAAATATTTAAAAAAATGACCGCCATAATGAAGAAGCGTTTCATGTACAAAGTTCTTGGAATGAAAGAAAAGAATAATCACCATGGGAGAGTTCATCCATACTTAGCGAGATTCACTTCAAAGAACATTTGAAAAAATAATGACCGCCGTTTCTCGAGCACTTGGAAAGCGTTCATCCCTACTTTGCAAGAGTTAAAAAAGAACAGGACATAACACTACATTTCACGGTACTTGACCACATGTACAACGTCTGCAGTGTTTGTAAGTGACAGTTAGTTCAAAGAAATCAACACAAAGAATATCAGGTCTCTTTCACAAGCATGCTGGGCCAGACAGTCACCTGAGAAAACGTTTGCTTCAAAACGATGCTTGGAAACAATACGACTGTCGATTCCTGCTATCAACAAAACAGATTTATTTATTTTTACAAAACAAGGAATGTTCTAATATTCTTGAACGTAATGACCATTGAAAAATCGAACCCTTTGAATAATTCTTGGTGCAATCATTGGCGGGAAAAGGCAGTCAATTTTCTGCTTTATTGGTTTATAGGTTTGTAACGAGAGGTAGGTTTAAAGCAAGCTAACACCTTTTTAAAGAAATTCACAGCATGTACGAAATGGAGGAGCACAGCGAGATGAAAGCTAATATTACGATAAATGGAAAACTACGCCGAAGACTGGTATGATAAATAACTCCTTCGAGTGGCATTTAGAACTTGATGTGATGAACAACTGGGGAAATCTATATGTCTTGTTTATTATTAATGTAAGCGGTGCTTCGTTGTAACTGCTAAAACCGTTATCAAGCAAGTGATGTACAATACTGCAGGAAAGCTGTATATATACATGAGTCAAGTTTGTACAACAATTTGATTGGTGTTTACGCAAATGATAACGAAGATCCATAACTGACCATACCCAAGCTCACCCAGACGACAACAACCTTTGCAACAGCATCAACATACTTACAAGCAATCACAACTTCTACAAGATCAGGACACTACCAGACGCCAATCCCATCAAGAGGCTCCAACCGGCCAAATACAGAGACCTACCTACTACAGTAGAGATTCGGCACAACGTGCTACAGTTGGAGGCTCGGTATAACTTCCCACAAAAGGAGGCTCGGTATAACGTATTACAGTAGGAAGCTCGGTATAACGTCCAACAGTAGGAGGCTCAGTATTATATCCTGCAGTAGGAGGCTCGGTATAAAGTCCTACAGTAGGAGGCTCGGTATAAGGTCCTGCAGTAGGAGGCTCAGTATTATATCCTGCAGTAGGAGGCTCGGTATAAAGTCCTGCAGTAGGAGGCTCAGTATTATATCCTGCAGTAGGAGGCTCAGTATTATATCCTACAGTAGGAGGCTCGGTATTATATCCTGCAGTAGGAGGCTCGGTATTATATCCTACAGTATTATATCCTACAGTAGGAGGCTCGGTATTATATCCTGCAGTAGGAGGCTCGGTATTATATCCTACAGTAGGAGGCTAGGTATTATATCCTGCAGTAGGAGGCTCGGTATTATATCCTACAGTAGGAGGCTCGGTATTATATCCTGCAGTAGGAGGCTCGGTATTATATCCTGCAGTAGGAGGCTCGGTATTATATCCTGCAGTAGGAGGCTCGGTATTATATCCTGCAGTAGGAGGCTCAGTATTATATCCTGCAGTAGGAGGCTCGGTATAAAGTCCTACAGTAGGAGGCTCGGTATAAGGTCCTGCAGTAGGAGGCTCGGTATTATATCCTGCAGTAGGAGGCTCGGTATTATATCCTGCAGTAGGAGGCTCGGTATTATATCCTGCAGTAGGAGGCTCGGTATAAAGTCCTGCAGTAGGAGGCTCGGTATTATATCCTACAGTAGGAGGCTCAGTATTATATCCTGCAGTAGGAGGCTCGGTATAAAGTCCTACAGTAGGAGGCTCGGCAGTAGGAGGCTCGGTATCCCATCCTGCAGTAGGAGGCTCGGTATAAAGTCCTACAGTAGGAGGCTCGGTATAATATCCTACAGTAGGAGGCTCGGTATAATATCCTGCAGTAGGAGGCTCAGTATAAAGTCCTGCAGTAGTAGGAGGCTCGGTATAAGTCCTCCAGGCTCGGTATAGTCCCGCAGTAGGAGGCTCGGTATTATATCCTGCAGTAGGAGGCTCGGTATAAAGTCCTACAGTAGGAGGCTCGGTATAAAGTCCTACAGTAGGAGGCTCGGTATAAGGTCCTGCAGTAGGAGGCTCGGTATAACGTCCTACAGTAGGAGGCTCGGTATAAGGTCCTACAGTAGGAGGCTCGGTATAACGTCCTACAGTAGGAGGCTCGGTATTATCCTGCAGTAGGAGGCTCGGTATAAGGTCCTGCAGTAGGAGGCTCGGTATTATATCCTACAGTAGGAGGCTCGGTATAACGTCCTGCAGTAGGAGGCTCAGGTATAAAGGTCCTACAGTAGGAGGCTCGGTATAAGGTCCTACAGTAGGAGGCTCGGTATAAAGTCCTACAGTAGGAGGCTCGGTATAACGTCCTACAGTAGGAGGCTCGGTATAAGGTCCTGCAGTAGGAGGCTCGGTATAATATCCTGCAGTAGGAGGCTCGGTATAACGTCCTACAGTAGGAGGCTCGGTATAACGCTCCTAGCAGTAGGAGGCTCGGTATAATATCCTACAGTAGGAGGCTCGGTATAATATCCTGCAGTAGGAGGCTCGGTATAAGGTCCTACAGTAGGAGGCTCGGTATAAGGTCCTACAGTAGGAGGCTCGGTATAATATCCTGCAGTAGGAGGCTCGGTATTATATCCTGCAGTAGGAGGCTCGGTATAAGGTCCTACAGTAGGAGGCTCGGTATAATATCCTGCAGTAGGAGGCTCGGTATAATATCCTGCAGTAGGAGGCTCAGTATTATATCCTGCAGTAGGAGGCAGGCGGTATAACATCCTGCAGTAGGAGGCTCGGTATTATATCCTACAGTAGGAGGCTCGGTATAATATCCTGCAGTAGGAGGCTCGGTATAACGGTCCTACAGTAGGAGGCTCAGGTATTATATCCTGCAGTAGGAGGCTCGGTATAATATCCCAGTAGGAGGCTCAGTATAATATCCTGCAGTAGGAGGCTCGGTATAAGGCTCGTCCTACAGTAGGAGGCTCGGTATAAGGTCCTGCAGTAGGAGGCTCAGTATAATATCCTGCAGTAGGAGGCTCAGTATAATCCCTGCAGTAGGAGGCTCAGTATAATATCCTGCAGTAGGAGGCTCAGTATAATATCCTGCAGTAGGAGGCTCGGTATAAGGTCCTGCAGTAGGAGGCTCGGTATAATATCCTGCAGTAGGAGGCTCGGTATAACGTCCTGCAGTAGGAGGCTCAGTATAATATCCTGCAGTAGGAGGCTCGGTATAACGTCCTACAGTAGGAGGCTCGGTATAAGGTCCTGCAGTAGGAGGCTCGGTATAATATCCCTGCAGTAGGAGGCTCGGTATAACCTGCAGTCCTGCAGTAGGAGGCTCGGTATAAGGTCCTGCAGTAGGAGGCTCGGTATAACGTCCTGCAGTAGGAGGCTCGGTATAAGGTCCTGCAGTAGGAGGCTCGGTATAATATCCTGCAGTAGGAGGCTCAGTATTACGTCCTGCAGTAGGAGGCTCGGTATAACGTCCTACAGTAGGAGGCTCGGTATAACGTCCTGCAGTAGGAGGCTCGGTATAATCCTGCAGTAGGAGGCCGGTATAATATCCTGCAGAGGAGGCTCGGTATAAAGGTCCTGCAGTAGGAGGCTCGGTATAAGGTCCTGCAGTAGGAGGCTCGGTATAATATCCTGCAGTAGGAGGCTCGGTATAACGTCCTGCAGTAGGAGGCTCGGTATAACGTCCTGCAGGAGGCTCGGTATAACGTCCTACAGTAGGAGGCTCGGTATAAGGTCCTGCAGTAGGAGGCTCGGTATAACGTCCTGCAGTAGGAGGCTCGGTATAAGGTCCTACAGTAGGAGGCTCGGTATAACGTCCTAGGAGGCTCGGTATAAGGTCCTGCAGTAGGAGGCTCGGTATAACGTCCTGCAGTAGGAGGCTCGGGCCAAGGTCCTACAGTAGGAGGCTCGGTATAACGTCCTGCAGTAGGAGGCTCGGTATAAGGTCCTGCAGTAGGAGGCTCGGTATAACGTCCTACAGTAGGAGGCTCGGTATAAGGTCCTGCAGGGAGGCTCGGTATAAGGTCCTGCAGTAGGAGGCTCGGTATAACGTCCTGCAGTAGGAGGCTCGGTATAACGTCCTGCAGTAGGAGGCTCGGTATAACGTCCTGCAGTAGGAGGCTCGGTATAAGGTCCTACAGTAGGAGGCTCGGTATAACATCCTGCAGTAGTAGAGGCTCGGTATAACGTCCTGCAGTAGGAGGCTCGGTATAACGTCCTGCAGTAGGAGGCTCGGTATAACGTCCTGCAGTAGGAGGCTCGGTATAACGTCCTGCAGTAGGAGGCTCGGTATAATCCTGCAGTAGTCCAAGGTCCTACAGTAGGAGGCTCGGTATAACGTCCTGCAGTAGGAGGCTCGGCTAACGTATAGTAGGAGGTCCACCAGTAGGAGGCTCGGTATAACGTCCTGCAGTAGGAGGCTCGGTATAACGTCCTGCAGTAGGAGGCTCGGTATAACGTCCTACAGTAGGAGGCTCGGTATAACGTCCTATAGGAGGTCCTATAACGTCCACCAGTAGGCTCGGTATAACGTCCTACAGTAGGAGGCTCGGTATAACGTCCTACAGTAGGAGGCTCGGTATAACGTCCTGCAGTAGGAGGCTCGGTATAAACGTCCTGCAGTAGGAGGCTCGGTATAACGTCCTGCAGTAGGAGGCTCGGTATAACGTCCTGCAGTAGGAGGCTCGGTATAACGTCCTACAGTAGGAGGCTCGGTATAACGTCCTACAGTAGGAGGCTCGGTATAACATCCACCAGTAGGAGGCTCGGTATAACGTCCTGCAGTAGGAGGCTCGGTATAACGT